ACATTTTACCCTTTACTCTTTTTCAGAACCCTTGTAGATCTTCTCAGCTGCTAACCCTACATGATTTTCAGCCTTATTTTTATTCCCTGGGGAAGACAATTAAGGAACTGCTTTTTAAAGTTTCTTCATCTAAGAAAGCCCAAGTGTGTCCCCTGTCTGAAAATACCAGGTCAGGTGCTGTTCTGTCCTTCCTGCTTCTTTCCTGACCTGGGGCCATAATCCCCTGTGTCACAATGCTGGGTCACGATGCTTGATTATGGTGGAGATGAGTCACGCTACAAGTCACGGCTGAGATTTTGCAGAGGAAGGGAAACAGGCAGTCTACCACTGACCCTTGAGTCCAAACTGGACCCATACACAAGGCTCCTTTGAAATTAAACGAACACTGTAAAATGTTGAAGTAACTCCTAGAGCTGTGGTTTTCCTCTGACTTGCCTTTCTGGGTCTGATCCAAGGATACAGTGTTCATTCATTTTCAGGATCCCTACGTAGATGGTTTTTATAGCCCCTTGGGGTGTAAATGAGCTGAGAACCGTATTTGTGTGTGAGAGTCCTCATTCATGATGAAAGTATAGCTTCTGTTTATGTCGAATTATTTTCTCATGTTTCAAAGTTAGAAAGAAAAGGCAGCAGTTGTGCCAATGTCACCAACACTTTGTGACGATGTTTGTAAGCTCACTCTCTGTCCCCTATCCATATCCCCCACCCCCAGAGGGTAAGCTTTTTAGGGCAGAACCTGGCCTCTTTGTTTTGCATGTTAGGGCCTGGCATGTAAACAAGTATTTGAACCGAATCTTTGAAGCCATCATTTCTCTGTATGTTTCTGCCTCAGGAATGTTCTAAAGGAAAAACATGCTTGTTTCATCTGCAGAAAGATTATTTTTGAGACACACCAGTCAGTACTTTACAAGTGTAATCCTCAATGTCTGCACGTCTCATTTCCCAAGAGCTGGAGCCACATTGCCCTCGCTCTGCCACATTCCGATGGCGGGGCCCCTGGGATCCGCTTTCCATGTGTTTGAGAAACTGTATGTTCTGAGGCAAATCAACCCTGAGAATTGGCCATGGGTGGATGGTTTTAGCAGTTCTCAAAATGACTGTTTCAAAGCCTAGGAGATTTGACAATGCAGATCTAGGCAGTAGCTCCCCAGTCCGGCCAGTGTGTGTGTGAGGGTAGCATCCTGCCTGTTTTCCTTCCTGTACCTAGTTCATTCTTTTTTACATTCCCTACTGCTCTTAATAAGGCATCTTTTTGAAAGTATAGAAGACTTAAATGAATTCTTCTTTTTTAGCTGTTGCCTTATCTTGTGTTTGAGCAAAAAAACCCAAAACCCTAACCACCCTAACAGGAAGGTAGCCTGTTTGGATGCTACACATTTTTGCTTGTATATACCCAAGACTACCACTTGACTGAGGATCATGGAGGGGTTGGAAGACTGAAGTTTTCGTTCTATTACATTTTAAAAAAATACGTTTTTCTTGATTTTAGAGAGAAAGAGAGAAAAAAATCTGTCGGCTGCCTCCTGCACACCCCCTACTGGGGAGCGAGCACACAACCTGGGCATTCCTGATCAGGAATGGAACAGGTGACCTCAGCGTGCATGGGACACTCTCACCAACTGAGCCACACCGGCCAGGGCTCTATACCATTTTGTATGATTTGAATTTTTACTCTATGTCTGTTGTTACTTAAAAATATAGTTTAGCCCCTCTGGCATGGCTCAGCGGTTGAACACTGACCTATGATCTAGGAGATCACTTTTCGATTCCCAGTCGGAGCACGTGCCCGCAGGCTCAATCCCCAGCTGGGAGCGTGCAGGAGGCAGCTGATCATCATTGATGTTTCTTTCTCTCTTTCTCCCTCTCCCTTCCTCTCTCTGAAATCAATAAAGATATGTTTAAAAATAAAATAAAATAATAGTTTATATAACTTTATTATCACTTCCTGTGTATTCAGAGATCCTTTTAAATTTTGAACTGGGTATTGATTATAAGTAAAAATCATTATTTGCTTATATAAGGGATCATTTGATTTTTTTTTTTTTTATAGGTTGCAGGGTTTTTCTAGAAATGGGCTTAAAAATAAACTTGCTACCTTGGGATTATGGTGTTCTTTCTGTTCTCTGCCCTTTGGACTAGGAAAATGAGCCCAGCCCTGATTTCTGAGATAATGCAAGCTTTTTGGGCCTACGTGAAAGGGTAATGCTGAACACGCCCACGCTGGCATCACATGCTGTGTGGACACGCTTTATTATTTATGAACTACTTCCGCAAGGTGCTGGAATTAATTGAACTTAACAGCAAATGAACAGAAAGACTTAAAAATTAAATTGATGTTTAAAGATTAAAACCCAGTTACATGGTCTGGTTGGGGATTCCTTGGGGTGATTTATGGATCGTAGCTTTCACAGTTATAAATTATGCTTGTGTCAAATGTTCCTTGGATAATATTAATAGTAGAAGAAACGATTCCTGTCTCACTTTTTAGCTTTAGTAAACCCAGCACCATTTAAAAAAAATTCTGAACATTTGCATGGGATGCTTACCTGCCTATTATTCAGTCTGGCTTTGACCTTCTTAAATAGCCCTGTAGCTAGCTGTTCAGGGCTACCTGGTGTTTGGTTTGTTTGTGAAAATAAGCAGACAAGACCAGTTGGTGAAGTGTCTTTTCACACCTCCTAGTTTTGTTGTGAGTTTCCAAAACAAATCCCACTTTAGTGTCTGGGGATTGAACCTGTACACCAGGTGATAATAGGCCCTCATGGAGGATTCTAGAGTTGGTTGGAGCTTTTCTCAACATAAACAGACTTTGGCACTGATATTTTTGGAAAGGCAGGCCTGGTCCCAAGAACTGTCAAGCGTGTATTCTTTGAAAGTCTGTTTTGTCTTCACATGCCCTGCGTGGAGAGGGGCAGCTCTCTGCTTATAGCTGCTTTGGTCCTCTGAGCCCTCTCCTTCAGCTTTCAGCAATGTCCCCTTTTCAAGGTGCCTACAGTTGGTATTTACAAAAGCTAACCACCCTTCATCACCAAGGCCACCATTTAGCACATGACTGTCAGAAGAGAAAAATACAAATAATCCTCTCAACATCTAAGTGACAAATATGCAAACTGTTCCCAGGTCCTGGAAAGTGTATTGGAAAGACACCAGGCTGGCAGAGGCTAGGTTGTCTCTCAGGACCTTGCATCTCCCCTCCCTCTCCAGCTGTGGGTTGTGGTTTTAAAAACTACAAAAGATTTCTCCTCAAGGTCCAGAATCATAGCTAACATCATTTTCTCAGGCCTTGGCTGTGTTTTGATAATGCAGGTTAAATTCTTTATGACTTCGTATACTGGATTTTATGAAATCTTATGATTTATGATGGATGGCAAGCTATGGTGGGTTTCCCCCCTTTCTACTTTTATGATGTTTAAATTAGAAGCTCAGACTTTCCTCAAAAAGAGTTGAAATTTGAGCCCTCCTTTCTGTGTGTTGCAAATGGTGGCCCATGGAAGGTAAGTTAGGAGAGAGGGCCAAACAGGAATCTTGGTGTAAGGGACAAATGGGAGTTCTGAAATGCAGAGCCAATTCAGAACTCAGTTGTGCCCCTCAACAGTCGTAAGGCCTTGTACCAATGACCTCACTTGCGAGCCTCAATCTCTTTATCTATAAAGTGGGTAAAACGTCCCATTTTGGAGATAAAGAAATGTCCTTCTTGTGAGACTTCAATGAGGATGCAGTGTGTGCAGTGCCGGGTACACTAGAGGTGCCATTTAAGTGTTAGGTTTCTACTTCCCTCTGCTTCCTTCCTTTAAGTACTGCGTGAGCTACAATAGTGAGGGCCATGATCTGCCCTGTGAGCAAGATGGGCTGAAGGTGAAAGAGGAAACTGTGGTTGTTTGGGCAAAACCATCATTTCCTTAAAGCCCCATGACCCTCAGCTCTTAAATAGGTCACTAAAAAGACGGTCAGAATGTGGATTCTCAGCCTATGAGGGTGACGCTGGGCTGGCTGTCAGGAGGCCATGTATTTGGAGCTACGTGTTCTGTAGTGGTCATGCCGCTCACATTCTCGCAGTTCACCAGCTGGAAATGCCAAGCAGAGACCTCCTTCTTCTGAAGTTTGTCTTTCAGTGGAGTGAAACTGATAAATCATTTGCCATATCTTGAAGTAGTTTGCAAATGACCAAGAGAAATACTTGAGTAATGTTTGAAATTCTCCCTTTTTTCTGATTATTAAGCTAGGAAAGAATGCCTCCTCTCAATTTTTCTTTAAAAAAAAATTGTGGTAAACAATTATATTTACATAACAAAATTTATCAGTTTAATCATTGTTAGGTGTACAGTTCTGATATTAAGCACATTCACATTGTTGTGCAACCATTACCACCATTCATCTCCAAACCTTTATTATTTTCCTCAACTGAAACTATGTCCCCATTAAGCACTAAGTCCCCATTCACTCCTTCCCCCAACTCTTGGTGACCACCGTTCTCCTTTCTGTCGCCATGAATTTCACTATTCTAGGTGCCTCATATAAGTGGACTCTATATATTTTTACTCTGGCTTATATTTTCCATTACTCCCTGTCAGGGACTGTTTTACAAACTCTTGCTTTTCTCTGAGATTTACTTGTAAATTTGCATTCTGCCTTCTGAACTATGCATGTCTGATCTTTGCATTTTTTCCCTATTGAAGGAAAATACCAGTCATAGGAAATGATTTGGTGGAATATTTATTTATTTTTAAACATAGCACTTTATTGAGTCAAGATTTTAGGTGATGCTACACTGAGTACAGAATCAGATCCTATCTTTGTCTAGTGGGTGGCTTCTCAAAAATAAAACTACAAGTTCTGCTTTTATCCCCCACCCCACCCTTTACTCCCCAAAGAAGAGAGCAGAAGAATGTGCTTGTGTAAGAGGCTGGTAACAGCAGAGAGGAGAGGCCAGTCAGTGGGGATCGTGAATGTCGTTTTGGGCTCTTCAGTTCAAAGGTAACCTCTCAGCCTCCTCCTCATAGGTGGTACGCCTTGAAATCCAAGCCAGGAAAGAAGGGGAAAGAGCGAGGAGAAATTGAAGTTGACATCCAGTTCATGAGAAACAACATGACAGCTAGCATGTTTGACCTTTCCGTGAAAGACAAGTCTCGCAACCCATTTGGGAAGCTGAAGGACAAGATCAGGGGGAAGAATAAGGACAGCGCCTCAGACACCGTGTCAGCAATCGTCCCCAGCACCTTACCCTCCGTTGACAGTGAGGATGAGTCGCCCTCCAAAGACAAGAAAAAGAAGTCAAAGATTAAGACCTTGTTTTCTAAGTCTAATTTGCATAAAACACCACTTTCCCAGTCCATGTCTGTCCTGCCTACTTCAAAGTCAGACAAAGTGCTGCTTCGTCCGGGAGACTTTCAGTCCCGGTGGGAGGATGATGACGAGGATGAGTCCTCCTCTGCCTCAGACGGTGAGTTCCCTTCTCCTTCTTACTTGGCCTTTCTCCCTCAGCTCCATTTATTTTGAGAGAAAAACAAACAGATCTTAAGAAAAAGATTTTAATTCAGCTTCTCAGGTACTAAAATGATGGTGGTGATGGTGATTGATGATGATGATGGTGGTGATGGTGACTGATGATGATGATGGTGGTGATGGTGATGACGGTGGTGGTGATGATGGTGGTGATATGGTGATGCTGATTGGTGATGATGGTGATTGGTGATGGTGGTGGTGATGGTGATTGGTGGTGATGTGGTGGTGGTGGTGATGGTGCTTGGTGGTGGTGGTGATTGGTGGTGGTGGTGGTGGTGGTAGTGATGGTGGTGATGGATTATCTTGGTTAGGAAGCCTTCTCTATTTCTTAGCCCTCTGGTTTCTAAGAATGTATAAATTCCTTTTTCTAAAATGTCTGGTTCTGTAACTGATGTACATTAGTACAAACTTCTGGGACTAACAAAATGAGTGCATCCAGGTTTTTCTTTTTTTTTTTAATTAAAGGTAAAACCCTGGAACATTAATGATATAATGATATTTCATTAATTCATCAGGTATTTTTTGAATTCCTATTATTGTAGTAAACCTCATGGAATACATCCATAATGAAAACTGAGGAATTCAGTTCCCTTAACTCTGAATTAACTGTGTATTTTGAACTGCAATTTCAATGATCAAATCTCTACTGTTGGCCAGATCCTGCTACTCTACCAAGAGTGCTGCCCTTTTCATTGGTTAAATGCAGGGTTTCTCAACCTTAGCACTGCTCATGGTTTGGGCCAGATAATTCTTTGTTGTGGGGGCTGTCTCATGCATTGTATGATCTTTGGAAGCATCCCTGGCCTCTACCTGCTAGATGCCAGTAGCATACCCCTACCCAGTTGTAACAACCAAAAAATGTTTTCAGACACGGAAAAATTCCACCCCACTCTGCCCCAGTTGTGGGTCACCCGTTTAACTTCTTATCCCCTTTTTTCTTTGTTTTTCTTCCCACAGTCATGTCTCACAAGAGAACAGTAAGTGCAGATCCTAAGCAACTGAACCAGATCAACTTCAGCCTTCCCAAGAAGGAAGGGCTCTCTTTTCTCGGCGGCCTTCGGTCCAAGAATGACTCCCTTTCCCGCTCTAACGTCTGTATCAATGGTAATCATGTTTATGTGGAGCAGCCAGAAGGCAAGAATGAGACCAAGGACACCTCTTCTTCTTCCCCATCCCCCCAGGGCTTCAGGAAGAAGCATTTGTTCTCATCTACAGAAAACTTGGCTCCTCGCTCTTGGAAGGAACCTGGGGAAGGGGGTGCAGTGTCTTCTGACAAGTGGCTCTCTGAGTCTTCCACGAAGAACTCTCCGAAATCCATGACCCTGCCGCCCTCCTGGCCACCCGTCAGCGGGGACGTTAGGGAAAACACGGCACCAGTGAAATTGGAGGCTGTGAAAGAATCCAAAGAGAGCAAGAAGCACGAGAACAGGAAGTCCTCTTTGCTTTCTCTGGTGACAGGGAAGAAGGACGTGGCTAAGGGCAGTGAAGGGGAAAGCCCTGCTACCACCCCAGGGAAAGAGAAGGAGGGCGCGCTGAGGGAGGACGGGCCAGGGCCTGTTGAAGGCCTTGCGAAGAGATCTGAGAAGGATACTGTGGCCGTTGTCTCTGGACAGGGAAAATCCCTGAACCCCTTTGAAGATGTGAAGATCACAGAACCGGAAGCTGACCCAGAGCCCAAGTCTGAACAGACACCACCCGTTACCTCTGCCAGGGCGCCCCAGACCAAAGCCGTGAAACCTCGGTGAGTCTTGTCCCTTCTTGTGCCATAATCAGAGGCCGGGGAAACGCAATGGGTGTAGCTGGTTCTGAGTGCTGCACGTTGGGAATGCCAGGTCTTGGCTGTGGTATGTGCAGGACCTGTGTTGAAGTTTGTCACACATCTCCCTGTGAGGCTGATGTTATCTTTTCCTCCTTGCACGTTGGCACTGGTTCACTGTCTCGAGAGACCCTTGGTCCACTCTTGAGTGTGCCTGTGACAGTTCTCTGTGTGTTTACTCTGCATCTTGTTGCAAGAGCCTGAGTGAGCCTGGGTGTTTCTCACATTCGCTTGCAGCGTTTCTGTGGTCTGGGATGGGAGAAGCTAGTTTTTGAGATTCTGCTTACTTTGATCTCACACAGACATTCACAGGCTCACACAGACACACATAGACTGTTGGCTCTTCAAAATGTGTGTGTGTTGCCTGTGGCTCATCTTTTACAGCTTTGAACTTTTTGGTTGCTTTCTGTGTATCACCAAAAGAAACTGTGGGCTGTCGCTTTACCTGGGTCTTTCTGTTTCTGCTGCAAAGCCCTTTGGGTGGCAGATGTGCTCGGTGATAAATAGTGTCTGTTTTGTGTATTGAGTATTGTTGTGTTCCTTTTTTAATTTCTTAAGGTACTGCCCTAAGTATAACAGTTCGTTCTCCCCTTTGAACGACTTTAGTTTTACATGTTTGTCACCTCTCATGCAGCATTTGCAACTGACCTGCAGGTCTTATCTTGTCCTTTTTGCAGACTGGAAGTGTCTCCAGAGGTTCAGCCCACAGCCAGGCTTTCTCCTTCCCCTGACTCTCCTCCCTTCTTTCCTGCTCTCCCTTCCAGATCTGCTCAGACACCTGTCCTTTCTCAGTCGGGGCATGAGTCAGACACACAGCCCACAGAATCTCCTTCTGTCTGCTCTACTCTCTCACCTCCCCTAGCAGCTCCCATTTCCACATCCACTCCTATTGAGAGCTGGCCTTCCACCGACCAGGGACAGGCTGGCCCCGAAGAATCATCTCTGCTCCTGAATGCAGGGTTACAAAAGGAGAGCTTAACACAAGTTCCAAATGCTGGTTCTTGTGCCTTGGGATCACTTTCCAAACAGCCACATGCTGCAGTGTGGAAAGGAGCAGGAGAAGCTCCGGTGGGGAAGACCAGTGAGATGGACACAGAGAAGGATACCAGTGGTGACGACTCAGAAAAATCTCCCCTGAAGCAGCCTGAAATGGGACAGCAAGAAGAACTTCTGAGGTTTCCCCCCCAAAAACAAGACTATACCTCTTCATCTGAAGGGGCTCAAGAAGTAACATTGTCTCTTTCAGTGAGAAGTAGCCGCATGGAAAGCCCGTTTGGGAAGCCTCCAATGGGGGTAAACACAGACTTGGAGAGTCAGTCTGGGTCTTTTGAGGAGAACAAAGTTGGGGATGGCCGAATGACTTCTGCAGTCAAACAAGAAGTACCCCCTCTTCAAATGGGAGAACTGGTCCCCCCACTTGACTCCGTGATGGGGAGACATGAAGAGATGGGTCTGAATGGCAGTGAGGGCCGAAAGAAAATCAAGAAGCACGTGTCATTTTCTGAGCAGCTCTGTATGGAAGAGGAAGTGGAGAAGTCCCCTGGATTCATCAAAGAGAACAAAAGTGATCCCCAGGAGCTGAGGCATGGAGGGGCTGCCGCTGGCAGTGTGTGTCACAGAGAGCCTGCTGAGTCTCCCCACGCGGGAGACTCTGAGAGGAAAGTTGTGATTGAACCCAGGCCTCTGAATTCCAGTGTGCCAGCTGCCGTGGCTGATCACCTGCTCCTCCCATCTCATGAGGAGAGTGTCTCAGAAGTCCCAGTGAGTGAAGCAAGCTCGGGGAAAGGCATTCCACTCCTTAGGACGGAGGGAGACGATACACTTATGTCTCAAAATCAGAGCAAGGCCAGTGATCATGAAGGTCTATTGTCTGATCCCCTGGGTGACCTTCAGTCTGCCTCAGATGTTAAATCTCCAGTCACAGCTGATCGGGACTTAACCCTTCCTTCCATTCCTGAAGTTGCGTCAGATGATGAAAGAGTAGACGAGCTGGAAGATGACAGAGGGGCAGCAAAGGTGGCAACTCTGGAAGTAGGAGCTTCTTCCTTGAGCATGTTACCTGCCCACCCTGAGAAGGCGCCCAGTGGCGAGGCAGGTGGAATGGCAGTGCCTGCAGACAGCCTACATGACCTCAGGTCGAAAGTGCCAGAAGCATCTGTTAGGGCTTCTTCAGAGCAGACTACAGCTTTAGGAATTCATAAACCATGCCTTAGCAAGAGCTTATACTTGGATACACAGCCACCAGGCCCTGGTAATGACGAGAAGGAAAAACTGATGGGAAATGGGAGACTAAGTCAGCCTCCTGATGTGGCCCTGGATTCTCCTGTCTCCAGCCCATCCTTTTCCGAGCCCTCTCCTGCCACACACTCTTTCCCTAGCTATCCACACTCTGACACTCACTATGCCAGTACAGCAGAATCTCAAAAAAAAGCAACAGCAGAGGGCCTCCCTGATAAAGTGGAAAATTCTGGCAAGAGGAAGCCGCTTCTTCAGGCCTGGGTCTCACCCTCGGAGACACATCCAGTCTCAGCTGGAACTGGGTCAGCCAAGCACAGGTGAGAGTCGGGGAAGATTGTCTTCATAAACTTGAGCAATGTCCCCTTTGCTTTTTGCCCACAGAGGTTATTATGACTTTCTAAGTGCATAGATGTTCTGATTGTGCAAGCTACCTGTTTTGCTGGTAGGGTCTGTTTTATAAGGGTTATCTCTTGTGGGAGCAGCTCAAGATTCTCCTGTGTTTGTAGCAAGAATGTAGTAGTAGTCTTCAAAAATGGCTTAGGAATTGTTCTGCACAGTCAGATTTGCAGCTCTGAAATAGCAGCGATTTACTATCGTGAGTATCTTAATGGTCTCAGAAACCAGCTGAGGTTAAGTGGTAGAACCAAGCAGTGTTTTAAAGCTTCCTTTTTGCCTTGCCCAGTGTGAAGCTGGCATGTTTGCTCTGAACTCTTTCTTTACTGCCAAGGAACAGAAGGCTTTGCAAGGGCTCTCACAGTGGAGTCCTAGGCTGTAGTTGCCTCCAAAAATAAGAGATGGTCTTTAATGTTCTCCTGACATTGAGAACAAGGACATGGGGGCTGTGAGAATGTCAGGACACCTGGCTGTAAGGGTGCGCGTTGTTGGCTTGCATTTGGCTGCCTAGAGCTCACTGCTTTCATTTCCACAGGAACGTTAGCGTGTGTTAGACCGGAGATGTGAACAGCGTGTCACCACTCTCCGCCCTCGTCTCTCTGGCTGACTGCTATCTTTGAGATGGGCAGTTTCTCAGTTTTGCTGTAACAGAAGGTTCTAAGGATCCTTTCTCCCTTCTCTTTAGACCTCATCTTGTGAAACCAATGAACACGACAGCCACCAAGATTGCTAACTCCAGCTCGGGAACTGCCACTATCATCAGTGAGAACTTGATCAACGAAGCTATTATGAAGGTATGTCTTCTCCCAGAAGTGGGCATATTAGGGATCTGAAAAACCCCACCCATTTCTAGTCACCATTGGATACATCTTTTTGAGCAGCAGGAAATGTCAGAAGTAGCTTAACCATACATCTCCTGTTTTTGGATAATCTTTGGAAGCCTTTACATTTGCCACTGAATAATTACTTTTCCCTTATAGTTATTTGTTATTGAATTTTTGCATCTCAAGTAGTATAATTGACATCAGCACTTCTCTCTAATGAGAAGAAAATGTCACCCACCATCTGGCCCATTCAAATGAGATATTTTCGTTTTCATGTATCCTTTCTAACCTTTTGGTAAGGATATAAAATTCTTGTGGTTGTAATCATTGCATAGATATACTTTTTTTGTAACTTTATTCTGAAATAATTTCAAATTTAAAAGAAGTTGCAAGAATAGTACAAAGAACTCCTGTGTACCTTTCATCCCAGTTCATCAATTGTTAACATTTTACTGGATTTGTTTTTTCATACCCCCTCTTTGTTCTCTCTTTGTATATTCATAATTTTTTTCCCCTGAACCATTTGAGAGTAAGTTGCTTATATTATGCCTCCCCTACCCCTAAATACTTAAGTGTGGAATTCCTAAGAATAAGAACATTTATCAAAATCAAGAAATTTAACATTGATGTGATACTCTTTTCTCATCTGTAGTCTATATTTCAATTTTACCAATTGTCACATTAATGCTCTTTTTAGGATAATTTTTCCCTCTAGTCCAGGATCCGATGCAGGATTACTCGTTATGCTCAGTTATCTCTCTAGTCTTCTTTATTCTGGAATAGCTCCTCGGCCTTTTTTGTCTTTCACAACATGGCCGTCTTTTAAGAGTGTAGATCAGTTGTTTGTAGAATTTGCCTCTGTTTGGATTTGTCTGGTGTTTCCTCATGGTTTGGCTGAGGTTATGTATTCTTGGCAGGAATTAACTATAGAAATAGCGTGTCCTTCTCAGTGCATTGTGTAAAGAGGCACATTCTGTCAGTTCATACCAGCAGTGGAAGTGTTAACTTTGATGATTTAGTTTAGGTGGTGTCCACCCAGGTTCTCCAGGGTAAACTTGCTATTTTTCCCTTTTAATTAATAAGGAATTTGTGGAGAATTAATTTCAGACCATGTAAATATCCTGTTTCTCAGCAACCTTTGAGTCATAGGCTTTAGTATCCATTGATGAGTAAGGTACTTGCAAATGATGATATTTCCAGCTCTGTACCTGTGTGGAAACACTCTACAGTTCTTTCTCACTTAGTAGTGTATCGTAGCCTTTTTTGCATGTTGCTACTTAATTATTCTTGAAATGGTTATACCAATATTCATTTAACCATTTCTCTATTGGATAATTAGGTTTCCTGTTTTTAAAAAATTAAATTTATTGAGATAACATTGGTTAATAACACTACATAAATTTTGGATGTACAACTGTATAATATATTTTCTGTTTTGCAAGATGAATAACACTATAGTAAACAATTTTGTGCATAGAACTTTTTCCCTTCCTTTAGGTTATTTCCTTAAGCTCAATTTCCAGAAAGAATACTGCTGGATTAGAGGGTTTCTTCCTTTTGGAAAGCTTAGGCAAACATTCAACAACAACAACACAAAAAACTCCCTGCAAAAATAAAATCAACCTCCCAGATGATCTCTGCTTGAGTGTCTTCATCCTGCCCTTCCTGGTTCTAAAATCAGGTGGCTGTGGAATCCTCGCCTTGCTGCAGATCTCTGGTCTTTGGCTCAGTATCACATGGACTGGAGGAGAATGTTGTACCGAGTGGTTGGTATCCATTAGTGGGCAAGGATGTGTGTGTTTCAAATATGTGGAGAGGAATTTCCAAAATGACTACTGGGGAATGTAGTCAGTAAAAATAAAGTTTGTTTTTATAAAGGGCATTTATTCAGTCATAGATTTTACAGTCCCATGGGCTCCAGGACATCAAATAGTTTTTGTGTTTTTAAAATAAAACTTTTTGCTCACGACTCCTTCCCTCCTGCAAGCATTTTTAAAGTGCTGGGTGATGCCCAGCCGGGCGTGGCTCAGCAGTTGAGCATTGACCTAGGGTCCAGATCACGGTTCGATTGCCGGTCAGGGCACATGCCCGGGTTGCGGCTCGATTCCCAGTCAGGGGCCTGCAGGAGACACCCGATCAATGACAACTCTCTTATCATTGATGTTTCTGTCTTCCTCTCTCCCTCTCCCTTCCTCTCTCTGAAATCAACAAAGATATATTTAAAAAAATAAAGTGCTGGGTGGTTATTTTCACCTCTGACTGCACTGTGCCTATGCCACCAGGAGCTGGGCTAAAGGCTTACTGAAAGCTGGAGCTCTGAGTTTCAGGTAAAGAGACTGAGTAGTAATGATGAATTGTGGCTGAAAACAAGTCAGCATCTTCTAGCCACCTTGCCTTCTCTCAAAATTACCAGCTGTAGCCAGAACTGTGTACCTACTATGTAGCCAGAACTGTGTACCTACTATGTTTTCGTCCTCACCTTAAAAATGTACCATAACTTGAGCAGTTCAGCTTGGCGGCCTTCTGTGGTTGTGTAGAAGAGGCAGCATTTGTTTTCCTGGAGTTAACAATGTTTACCAGGAAATTGGGCAAAAGAACGGCATAAAAAGGGCATCGATGAAAACTAGTCATTTAGTGGCCTTCCATTCCCTCTTCCTTTTACTGTGGAATGCAGCTTGGCTCCAAAGAGAAATAACACCTAGCTTCTAGGAAGTGAGCAAGAAAGACAGACTCTTGGCTCCCATTTTATTTACTCTTCAAAGCTTGTTTAATCAGGGGCTTATCTTCTGGTGCTGACAGAGAGAATAACTTGCCTTAAATCAAAGGCAACTGCTGTTTGGTTTGCTCAGGATTTGTAAGCTCCACTGCTGCCCCTCTGCCTGCCTGCAACAGAGCTCTTGGTCCTGGACCATACCTAGTAAATACTCAGAGTAAATATGGAAACTTTCCTGGAGACTGCTGTTGGCTGGCCATATAATAGGTGCTTTGTACTAAGGCATAAACAATACTTATAAAAATAACTACTTTTTGGAATGTTGCAAAGTAAAAGAGAGGTTAGAGAAAGAAATTGCATAGCTAAAGTTATGAAGGGCTAGCCGAATCATTACTATAATGGATTGGGGGGAAGGTATTTTTTTTAGGGCCTCCATCCTTTATAGATGATTTATGAGTAGGGGTGTATTATTTACTCAGGTGGCTTTGACACTTCCACTTAAAAATAATACAGCCAACTACATCCAGAAATCATCATCTGTCCTGTTTTATGGAATAAGTTGGACACAATGTGAATATACATCATTATTATTACAACTGTGCGGGGAAAAAATCCTAAGAGGAAATATGTGACAATGGGCACTGTTGTTTCTTGAATTAATGGGTCTTTTCTTTGCACCTCTCCCTCTTCATGGCTTACGCTCACCTTCTGTAATGCTGAATTGTTCTGTAATTTTTTAAGTCATCACATTCCTAGAATCTTCTAATGATTTCAAAGTCCTACATACTTTTCCCTTTAGAATACAGAATCTAAATTGAATAGCTTTTTGACAGTTTGTATGAAATACCTTAAGTATGTATGCCTCTTTAATTCTATGCACTTAAGGAAATATTTAAAGATACAACCAAAGACTTACGTTAATACGTTTTAATTAAAATGTTATTATATAATTGTGAAAATTGAAAACAACCTAAATACCCAGTGAGAGAGATGGTTTAAATATAATGGAATTTTAAGCATCCATTAAAAAAGCAATTCTTGCTAAAATTTAATGATAGAAAAGGCTCACAAAATAATAATTTAAAGAAGCTATGAGACTATATTCTGTATGATGTTAAAGTTGTAAAACACACCATAAAGAAACTGAGGAAAAATGAGAGAGAGACCCAAATGTTATGGGTCGAAGTTATAGGTAATAATTTTTCCTCACTTCTGAATTTGAGGTGTCCCATGATGAGCAAATATTCCTTTTATAACTAAAAGCAAATCCTGTTGCTTGGGCAGGAAATTAATTGTAATTCATCTCCACGGTCTAGATCAGATGTCACTCCACCTTTGAAGCTTATCCGGTCACCTGTGTAGCGTTGGTATCTTGTTTGTCCAGCTCCTAGAGCACATGGTACCTCTCTAAACCCCAACTTCCTGAGCCTCAGGTTATGTCATTGAGCCCTACTTTCATATTTCTTTTAGCTATTTAGACTTCTTTGCTGACTTTATCTCTTTTCCCCCGTTCTTTCCTCTCCAAAGAAATACAACCCCTCGGACCCTGCTTTTGCTTATGCACAGCTAACCCACGATGAGCTGATCCAGCTGATCCTCAAGCAGAAGGAAACAATAACCAAGAAGGAGTTCCAGGTTCGCGAGCTGGAGGACTACATCGACAACCTGCTGGTCAGGGTCATGGAGGAAACCCCCAACATCCTCCGAGTCCCGGCTCAGGTTGGCCGAAAGGCAGGGAAGATGTGAATGGCCAGCGCTGAGACTTTGTTGTGAGTTTGTTTCCACTTCCTCCTGAGGTCAAGGACTCCATATGCCTGATAACCAGCTTACGGCTCCAAGTCACCATCTATCTCCCCTGCATGTTATCTGGCAAGAGTCAATTCTACCAGTTGGAGCCAGGTTAATTATTACAATAAGTCTTTTACTGTACATTCCCAGGGTTTTATTTTTAAATGCCACTGTGCCTTATGTTGTAAATATTTTATGCCCTGACCAAAGACATGGTCATAAGATCTGATCCCGGCCCATGGTGCCAGGGGTATTAATGTATTTTAACATTGGGGTTTCCTTTCTTCTTTGAAATTGAGATCCTAAAATATGTATCCCCCAGTCATTAATGCTTGGGGCAAAATGAGAAGGTGCTGTGTTACATATATTTTCTTGGCTTTTGAGTAGCTCAGGTGTGGCTTTTTGGCTATAGATGCTAAATTTTGATACCATGTCAACCTCCAGGGCTTCTTAAACTTGGCCTTGTTTTGACTGGAGTGGAGGAATTTAGGGAAAGCCTCTGAGTGTGCCTTTAAGATTTTTGAACAAGTTGCCTTTTCTAAACATCAGCTTCCACTACTCCCTAGCCTTAAGATGTGCTCTGTGTGGATCCACAGGACCCTTGAGAAGTAGAACAGGGGAATGGGAGAGTCACTTGGGGCTCAAGTAGGGGGAGTTGGTTGGAGTCCCTCCTCGCATGATAGCAGGGTTCCTGCTGGCTGCTCTGTGTCTTGATAAGGGATTGGGTGACTCAGCCCTTACTAAAATGATTCCACCAGGTACAGAATGATTTTAGTTGGATTCCTGTGGCCTTTTCCCTTGTGCCTTAGCTCCTTGGTTTCCCTGGCAGCTCTTCCTGTCATTTCCCCCCTTATTATAAAATGGTGTAAAGAGCAAGAAGGTGATACTTATTTTGGGATTGCTGTATTTTAAAAACTAGATTAATACACATATTTTAAAAATTAGAACACTTGCCCTCTTCTTAATTCATAGTACCAGTTAAAATTCTTCAGGTAATCACATTGTTAGTAAACCTAATATTGGGATTAGATTGTTTCTGTATTACTCATTTTTTTCTCCTGGTTGTGACAGAATCTTACCAGATCTTGACCTTTCTCTTGGGGGAGGAATATCACCAGCCAATGGGGTGGGCAGGGGTGGCAATACTAGCAGGTATTAAATTTGGGATCTCTTCTTGGTATGTTTTTGTTATATTGAGGTTATGAGGCAAGATTGTTGGCAGCAGAATTCCTTTTCAGGATCACATTGGCTGCAACTTTAGTTATATCGGAGCACTTTAATCTGAAGGATGATACTGTAACTTGATTTATCTAATTAGTTTTTAACTACCTATAGCTATTTTATTTAATACTCTCCTACAGTACTGGGGACTACTGTAAACTTCTCAGATGACTTGTATTTTTGTAGTGCTAAGAAATTTATTTACATACCTACAAAGAGAACTGTATATTCACTTGAACTCTGAAAATGTATATGTATATATTTGTTCCGCAACATGTTTTTTACTTGATGTAAATGTGTTTTGACTGTGATAACCCAAGTGCACTGGGGGGCAGGTGTGCTCTGAATGGTTTCTCCTCTGAAGAGCTGGTGTGGAGACCTGCACTGTTCTGGGGAGGTTTGGTTTGGAGATTGCTGCTAAGACCTTGGGCATGTACCCCGGTCAGTGCTTGAGAGGGACGCTGGGTGGAGGAGCGAATTCCTGTGCTCTGAAATGCCACTTGGGAACTCTGGAGAATGAAGGACAATCTACTTCAAGGGTGTCTGGTTTCTACCACTGCTGGAAAAAAAATTCAATTGATAGCATTCCTGTACCTTTCAAAGTAGGCAGCCTGAAGAGTTAATGACTGTCCTTGAGGACTCTACTCTGGGACAAAATTTATCTAAGATAAAGTTTTAGCCTGCCTGAGCCATTCGCAGGGCGTGGTGAGTGGATTGCTGGACTCCTATACCTGGCATATGTCTGAAGGCCTATGCCCATCTGTATAGGAACTGGGACTTGCTTCTAGCTGATGTGAATGCTCATCTAACTGATGGGCCCTGGGAAGAGGCTGTGCTCTGGAGCAGCGGGGCAGCTCTCCTTAGCCTTGCCTAGCTGCCTCCAGAAAGAACAGTAGGTACTTTAGGGAAGTGTCAGATTAAATACCAAACACCTTGCAGTGAATTTCAACTAGAGGTCAGATCCATGAAAAAAGAAGGTCAATCCTTTGCTTGGTTTCGTATCATCTCATTCCTTGGACTTTGGCAGATGTCCCGCCCTTCTTTCTTATTCCTGTATGTTAACCTCATCAGGTGAGCAGAATGGAGAAGCAAGAAAGTCTACCCTTTGCCATGCGTAAGAGCTGTTGATCTTCCAGCTGTTGAGTGGAGAGGTGTGTGCATGTGTGCACGAACCAATGGGATACATGTGTGTCATTCCAGTGGGAGCTCAGAAGGGCATCGAGGGAGGAAGGTCCATGACACTCAGCCACATACTGTATTGAAGGCCAGAGGCAATTTAATATTAAATTATACAGGATATTTCCTTACTGGATCCCTTCTCCCAATGGACTCTTTTTTCTTTTTTAGAACTACTAATTAATGATCCCTCAAGGCTGAAAGATTAATTGCCTTAGATGGAGAACATAATCTCTTCTAGTATCCACACCAACCTCAACTCTGGTTTCTCAATATCTATTATGTGAGCTGCTAACCTAACCTCTTCCTCCCTCCAACTCTTGAAGGATCCCCCAGTGTTTTTGGATTATAGAGTTATTTCCTGCTTTGTTACTTGGGGAGTTTTGAATTTCTCTGATTTTGTTTTTAAGAAGTAACCTAAAATTTCCAACAACACTAAATAAAATGGTACTACCTTTCAAAGATTTGTGTCTGTGGTTTAGTATGGGTGCAATAAAAATTTCTTCTGTCTTCCTGGATAACTTCCCTTGGGGGTGACCAGCAGTTCTCACCCTCTGAGAATCTCTCACCTAGATTCCTACTGCTGCCACCTTGCAATGCCATTTCTCCTCCAGAGGGTGGAACATCTTTGATCCCTTCTCTGACACACATCTCATCTTGGCCTGCTGCAGGGACCATAGGCTGTCAGAGTGGAGAGAAAGCTGCATCTGCCCTTGCATATCAAGTGCTCATTTCAGGCTGCAAGGACTGCAAAAGGAAGGCCCATTTGTTGAGTTCCCACTGATCACTAAGCACATCCATCCCCTGGCCACCCACCTGGTTGGTAGATTTCTCTGAGTAATGTTATACATGCTCATTCTTGAGGGGAAAAGGTAAGAGAGAAATCCTAGGTTCCTCACTACGAAGAGGTAACCACTGTTATTTTGATTGTTGTCCTGGCGTTTTCCCTCATACAAATAGATACATTTTAAATGAAGATGAGAACACGCAGTACAAACTCTTCAGAACATTTCTGCATGCCTTTAGATTACCTGCTGCAACAAGGATCCATCGTGATTCCAAGGAAGAATCTGCCCCAGCTAACCAACCCCCACCACAGAGCTAACACGACTGCAAAGATGATCCAGCTCAGGTTATCATCGAAGCCACCTGTGGGCCAGAATGAGGGCTTGCGGGGGAGCACTCTGTCCCCCAGCCCCCATGGAGAACTGTCATTTACAGGGTGTAATTACCACTCCTTAACCTTGGCCAAAGTGTCAGCAGCAGGGCTCCCTTAGCCCTTGAACCCAGTCTCTAAGCAAAGGGATCTCATGCCTGAGGCTTCTCATCAGTTAACATCTTTTGCCATCTGCAGTCTTTCCTCTGCTGGGAAGGCAGGAGCTGTTGCTCCACGTTCAAACTGGCTTCCCTGAGCTCTGCGGGGCCAGCATAATCCAAAGCCAGTGTCTCCTGAGGGAGAATGTCCTCACTTAGCCTTTTGAAGTTCAACTATTTTACACAGAAACCTGTATCCTGAGCCCTGGGTGACAATGATAGGCTCTCACAGCATGGAGAGAAAGCTGCTTCTGTCCTGGCATATCAAATGCTCACTTCAGGCTGAAACTTGACAGCAAAAGGAAGGCCCGTTTACTGAGTTCCTACTGTTCACTAAGCTCTCCGCTACGATTTCTAATTCCCATCAAGGTAGATAAGATCTCCATTATGCAGATGAGTCTCAGAGAGGCATCAGAGCTTTAGTTTGCCTAGGATCACAGGGTAAGTGGTTCAGAAAGAATTTGAAAGAATTTGAACTCACTGTCTGACCTGGAGGTCTGGAAGCGGGGGTGAAGTGGGGCTGGGGGGGCAAATACGGCCTGTTTCCTGGTTTTGTACAGCCATCAAGCCAAGAGTGACTCTTACTTTTTTTTATTCAACTGTAGGATAAATAAGATCTAGAGATCTAATGCACAGAATGAAAACCACAGTGAACAACGCAACACTGAATACTGGAGATTTTCACAGTTTTTAATGATTTAAAAAATCAAAATGACGCTATTTTATATTTTTATTTATTTATTTAAATGTATCTTCATTGATTTCAGAGAGAGGAAAGGAGAGGGGGAGAGAGAGAGGAAGAAACATCAATGATGAAAGTCATTGATCGAGCCCGCAACCCGGGCATGTGCCCTGACCTGGAATCGAACCCTGATCGCCTGGATCCTAGGTTGACGCTCAACCGCTGAGCCACACCCAGCTGGGCAATGACACTGTTTTATGACACATGAAAATTACATGGAATTTAAATGTCAGTGTCCATAAAGTGTTACTGGAATACAGTCATGCTCATTTGTTTATGTCCTTATGTGTTTCCACATTACAACAGCAGGCTAGAGTATCTGCAACAGAGACTTTATCGTCTGCCAAACCTAAATATTTGCTATTTGGCCCTTTACAGAAAAAGTTTGCTGACCACTAGTCTAGGATCACTTTGGGGGCCAAGGAGATGATGTTCTGATTCACTTGGAATCCTGGAGGGTTGGAGCAGGCAGGGAAAATGGAGACCATAAAACTCACTCCTCCCTCAAGATGAGACCAGATAAGCCACACAGGCTCCCTGAAGAGGGAAATTCCCAGTAAGGTGACTGGTATTCGTGCTCTCAGTCTATGCAAAGAATGAGGGCCTGTGACCACCTCCTTAGAGTTATCAGATCCCCATATTCTTAGCAGTTCAAGAAATTGAACACATAACTCACCCCAGGAGGGGGAAATGATGTTTGGGGTCACAGAATAAACTACGCAAAAGGGAAAAGTGAACCCACGTGAGGGAAGTTATTCGGCACAAGGATTTAGGAAGTCTGGCCATGTTCTGTGCTGTGGCTGTCCCCTGTGAGTGTGGGAGGAGAATGCGTGTCCATTACAGAGCTGAGGTGGTGGAAAGGAAATCCTGTCAGAAAGGCTCGAAGGCCTGAGCCACTGCCAGGCTCAGTGTCACAGAGAAGTGTGTCCTCAGGGCTCAGAGTGAAACTGGTTTAGAGTGACATTTCAGTCAACTGAGCTGGAAGGAGCCCAGGGGTGAGGCCTGATTAAGGACCTGAGAGCAGCCCAACTCCTCCTGGTTTCTTGCTCTAGATTTTAATGATCCTGCCTCTGAGAGAGACTATGTAGTGCTTCTGATAGGCCCACCTAGGACAGGTATTCACAGGAGCTGAACAGCTCTTTACTGAGTGCCCACCCTCATCCTAGGAGGTGTTCCCAGGACATAGGGATGAAAAAGCCAGATCATTTCCTCAGAAACTTGCAATCAAAAGGAAAGCCAGACAGGTAAGCAACTAACTAGAATGCACACATCTAACCAAGTGAGGACTGATGAAGAGCTTCCTTCAGGTCCCACACCATCAGTGAGCTTCTCTTTGGTCTCCCCTCCAGAAAGAACTCTGGCCTTAAGGTCAGTATTTCCCATCTGAACCACGGCTGGGGTGGCATTTCCAACAGCCTCCCCTCCACGTATCTTTTTGCTCTAATCCAGCCAATTCTGGGCATTCAGCATTCTAAAAGCCTATGTGTCAGGTATCATGTGAGCACTGGTGAGATAAGAAACATGGTTCCAGTTTCACAGGTGGGGGATGGGGGAGAAGGGTTTGAGGAACATCTGTTAAACAGATAATCACTATCACTGAATGATGGTAACTCAGTGTTTGTAGCAGTGGGAAGGGCACCGAAGGTGATGTATCTGTCCTGATTTCCTCCTAGAAGAAGGCAAATCAATTTCCTAAATTAACAGATTTCTTCTTGGGAAAGTGCAGAATCCCAGACTTATACATCTTAGTCGAGTGCGCCATCTTCTGGCCTGGGTCCTGCCCACTGTCCAGCTGTTAGTGTCTGAGGGCAAGATGCTATTACCCACTTGTGACTGGAAAAGAAACTGCCCCTCCAACACTTACAGTTGCTGGTTGGAGGATCATAAAAGATTTCTTCCACTTTACTATGTGTCATGGGGGTGGGGCAGGATTTTAAGACTTCTGTCATGGGTAAATGAATGTAATAACATCTCACTCTAAAAAAAATGCAGTTATGTTCAAGATCTGCACAAAATTAGGGATGAGAGGAGTCTTAGGCTATTCTTGTATGATAATGTAAAGAGCTACTCTCAATGCCAATAATGTTGTTTTTAGGGACATGTTTCCCTCCTCAGTAAGAATGTCAACTCTACTGTCTAATACAAATTCAGAAATTCTAAGGTGTGTGTACACACGAGCATGCAGGTGTGTCTCAATACCTATCTTCTGGACAACCAGAAATAAATCCTCATCATATACATCACACTATGTGTCATGGGGGTGGGGCAGGATCACACTGGCAGGGAACTAGAAGAGAGGGGATTTGAAATGCCCAAGGCCAATGCTTGGATTATAGACAACATGCAATATTTTTGTCATACATGCCTTTGTTCTGCATTGCTATCCAGAGAACTCACAGTCTCATTAGGCATAGAGGGAGCTTTCTATACCTGACCGCTGATTATAGCTCTTTCAAAAGAACTATAGCTCTGTCTGAGGAAACCCCTTTCTTTTTGAGGCTCAAATGCTCTATTTGAGGACTCCTTGGATACATGGTCATTGTGTAGATTGAGTCTTCAGACTAATGAGCACCACTTTTCTTTTGAATTTTTCAGTTCTAGGATGCATAATTAATTTACTGATCTTCTAAAGAAGGCTGCTGTAACCAGTATCTCATTACTCAAGGGAGTATCCCTATTTGTTAAGGGGCTGACAAGACATCTTTGCCTTTCAATTCATTCGGCCAGAATCTTGAAGCACCTTAAAGCTCAAGCTTTTTTTTTTTTTTTTTTTTTAATCCTTACCTGAGGATATGTTCCTCCCCCCATCCCATTGATTCCAGAGAGAGAGAGAGAAGGGGGGGAGACAGATAGACAGACAGACAGACAGACATTGATGTGAGTGAGAAACATGTATGGGTTGCCTGCCCCACGCGCCCCTACCGCCCTGATGGGGAATGGAACCCGAAACCCTTTGGTGCACAGGGCGATGCTCAACCACTGAGAAACACTGGCCAGGGCTTAAAGCTCAAACTTTTAAAAACACCTGAATTTGTTTGAACTCTCCAGTCTGCCAAAGGCCACACCACTCCATATTCTTTCACTCCAACTCCCTGAGACATTCTTTGCCTAGCATCTGAAAGTATTTGAGCTTGCCACCCTGGATTTTAATTCTACTCCCTCATTCTACAGTTGAGGAAAACAGACTGCAAAGAGGGGCAACAACGTGCGTGGGAAAGCCGCTCAGGAACGTAGAACACTATTTCCTACTCTCACTACGCTACCTTTTCGGCACATGCTTTGTTCTATGGCCAAAGTCAACATTCGTTACCAAAAAGAAATGGAGAATCTGCGATTCCCTTAGCGCTTTAGAAATGGAAGTTCTTTAGGGAACGCAACAATTTCTCGTCTGTTATGTGTATATACATGTAGGCAGAACGTTCACCCAAATTCAACCCCCAGTATGACCTGCCTCAAACCAGCTACCCATACCTGGGAACCCAAAGACACAGTCCAGACCAGGAACCTCCTCTCCTAGCTTACGTTTTCACCCGAGTTCACAAAGGAACGGACCGGAAGTGTCGATCAGTCGCCCTGCGGCGAGTCCTACCGGTACCCTGGTCGAGCTGGCCGGAAGAGGAAGGTGCAGCCCTTAGAAGGTTCCCCGCGTAGTGCGTGCTTCCGCACGGTTGTTGTTGCGGACGTTGGGCTGGGTAGGCGAAAGCTCCCGCGGCGCTCGGCAGGTTTGAGAGATGCCGGGCAGAGGCCGGTGCCCCGACTGCGGCTCCGCAGAGCTGGTGGAAGACGCGCACTATTCGCAGAGCCAGCTGGTGTGCTCCGACTGCGGCTGCGTGGTCACCGAGGGCGTTCTCACCACCACCTTCAGCGACGAGGGCAACCTCCGAGGTACCTGTGCCGTCCTTTCCAGGCTGAGGGTACAGCCTGGGGCGTTGGAGGGCCTGACACCAGATTCCTCTTATCTCCTGCCCACTCCTTGTCATGCACACATTTAAATACGGGAGAAAACAACCTAAAGTGAACGAGTAAGCTGTGAAAGTTTAGGGACTGCCGTTCACTTGTGTTTTCCTAGCACCTAGTACAATATCTGACATGTATAAACGTTCAGTAACATGTATAAACGTTCAATAAGTGAAACAAAGAGAAACAAAGTTCCAGTCTGGTCGTGGTGGAAGAATTGTGGGTCAGCTCTTTAGGAGTACACCCTATACTATTACACCCCAAAGCCATTTTTGGTACTAAGTGGCAGAACATCATTTTCTTCCTTTGCTTTCCAAGTTCCTGACCAGTGCAGCCCTCAAAATCCGCAGCCAGGAAAATTGCCTGGATTGGATGTATCAGAGGGTACAAATTTGTACTGAAATTTCTGAAAATTTGGAGCACTTAGAACTGCTTTGGTGTAGTCCTGATCACCCTCAATCTCTGTGTATTTGATAGTGCTTGTGGATATAGAAAACCAGATGGACTTTTAATTTGCGTAGATGGGCACCTTCTGTGAGACAGGGAGCAGATGCTTAATGATTTGCACTCTGCTCCCCTGGCTTTGTGTGGTGGGAAGGCAGGGGTCTGATGAATAAAGACTAAACAAGCTATTTGTTTTCCGTTTTTCCCCCCAGAAGTAACATATTCCCGAAGCACAGGGGAAAATGAACAAGTTAGCCGCAGTCAGCAACGAGGTGAGAATCAACCTTTTATGACACGGTGGCTTTAAAGAAAACTCTCCTGATGGTCCAGCCCATGCGTTTGCTTTTCCTGTTTTCAGCATTACCATGTAAGGTAGAGTAGAAGAGAATGGTGATTATAGAAATAAAGGATGGGGATGATTTTAAGAGAGATAGCAAATCAGTATAAGTTTGGGATTTGCTCAGGGATATAGTTGGAGTAGACTCAAGGAGTCCAGATCAATCTTTGGCTTGGCCCTGAATCAAACCAGCCTCTAAAAAATGGTGGGCTGAAATGTGACTTCTTTCCACAAATTCTTTGTACCTTCAGAATGACTTCACCAGGTGACACTCCTGTCACTGTAGAAAGGTACTATATTTGTGCTTTTTTTTTTTAGGGGTGGGGGGAGGAAGAGCGAGAGAGAGAGAGAAACATTGATGTGAGAGAGAAACATCAATCAGTTGCCTTGGCATGTGCCCCAACTGGAGTGGGGTATTGAATCTGCAACCTGGGTATGTGCCCTGACTGGGAATCGAACCCTTGACCTTTCAGTGTATTGGATGACGCTTCAACCAACTGAGCCACACCAGCCAGTGCTAGTTGTGTATCTTATATCAGAGGCAAGTTTAGCAGAAATTGCTAGGAGCTGCACCGTAGCTCCTTTGACCCTTCTAACTCTTGTTGTGGGTTTTCCTAGGTCTCCGCCGAGTGAGAGACCTCTGTCGAGTTCTGCAGTTGCCATCAACATTTGAAGACACAGCACTTGCCTACTACCAACAGGCATACCAGCACTCTGACATCCGTGCTGCCAGGCTGCAAAAGAAAGAGGTGTTGGTTGGGTGCTGTGTCTTAATCACCTGCCGGCAGCATAACTGGCCCCTAACCATGGGAACCATCTGCACCCTGTTATATGCAGATTTGGATATGTTTTCTGGCACCTACATGAAGATAGTGAAGCTTCTGGGGCTGGATGTGCCATCTCTGTGCTTGACCGACCTGGTGAAGACCTATTGTAGCAGGTACCTGCTTAGTGGGAGATGTGGGGATGGAATGGGTTCTTAGATCTGTTTTACCTTGCCTGTCTCTTTTTGACCAAAACGCATCCAAAAAGATGAGAGAAAAATCTGTTCTCCCTCTCCTGTGCCTGGTACTAATAAGGTTAATCCCATTTTATATTTCTAGAATGCTATAATTTCAAACCTTTTTGCCCTCACAGCAACCTAATGATGTAGGAAAGTAGGCATTAGCCTTGCCACCGGGCTCCTGAGTTGCACCACTCACATATGTGGCCTATGTGGCTGTATGCAACGGCCCTGCCTCAGCAGGATCAACTGTGAATGGAGCTAATAGAATATTAGGAGATGACAGAACTGTAGTTAGAAGCTAATTCTTTTTTTTTTTTTAAAGTAGCTGTGTGTTTTTTTCCTGACAAATATAGTAGAAAACAAAGTCTATCAGTGTCAAATAGTGGGTTTGAAGCTTGGTTACTTTCTAGCTGGATGACTGTGGGCAAGTTTTTCAACTATAAATGCACATAACAAGGTGGCAAAAGAACGTCTGCAAAGCCCTCAGAATAATGGCTCACTGGGGTTGCTCAACAAATGTTGGTTCCCTTCTACATTCTCCTGCCCTTCTCACAAGCAGAAGACTCACCCAGTCTTCTCTCAGTACCTGTATGAAATTTGCTGCCCAGCAAGCTTCAGTGTTCCCAAGCAGCTAGAACAGCATGCCTATCCTGAGCGGACTGCTCTTCCTCACTTTGGAAGAGCAGCCCCCCACCATAGGCACTGAGACAAGACCCTCACTTTGGTTATTTCAGCTTCAAACTGTTTCAAGCCTCCCCATCTGTGCCAGCCAAATACATGGAAGACAAAGAGAAGATGCTGTCACGAACATTGCAGTTGGTGGAGCTGGCGGATGAGACATGGCTGGTGACTGGGCGGCATCCCTTGCCTGTTATCACTGCTGCTGCTTTCCTGGCTTGGCAGTCGCTGCAGCCTTCAGCTCGTCTGACATGTTCCCTGGCTCGATTTTGTAAATTGGCAAATGTGGACCTGCCCTACCCTGCTTCCACCCGCCTACAGGAGCTGCTGGCTGTGCTCCTGCGGATGTCTGAGCAGCTGGCCTGGTTGCAGGTTCTAAAACTTGACAAACGGTCTGTGGTGAAGCATATCGGCGACTTGCTCCAGCACCGCCACACTTTGATCCGCAAAGCCTTTCGAGAAGGGACAGCGGAGGTGGAAGCCCAGGAGAAGGAACTGCAGGGGCAAGGACAGGGGAAAGTGGAATTGGGTAATAGTTCCTTAGGTTTGCCTGAGGGGAAGCGACCAGCTAGTCCTGCCCTTCTCCTTCCACCCTGCATGTTGAAGCCCCCAAAGCGGGTCTGCCCCATCCCCCCTGCCTCCACAGTCACTGGAGATGAGGACATTTCTGATAGTGAAATAGAGCAATATTTGCGAACCCCTCAGGAAGTGAGGGACTTTCAGAGAGCCCAAGCAGCTAGACAAGTTGCCACAGGTAGTCCTAACCCTCCATGATGCACTTTGGAGGTTTGGGGAGGCACTTCACTCCATTCTGACAGCAGATTGATAATAGGCCTGTCATATCCAGAGAAATAAGTGTACAAGTCCATAGGTGTTGTCTCTCTGCAGTTAATTGGAGCCCAGGTCCTGGAGTAGAAATCATAAAGACTGTAGAGACAACCGAGTTGGAGAGAGTCCTGTCCTTTAGTGCCAGAGAGCAAGTTGCATATGTTCACATTCTGTGGAATGGCTATCCTCTTAGACTGTTGGGAGAGGGTCAGGCTCTCTCCTGCTCCTGGTTTGAATTGGATAAACTGCTGCTGCAGGGCTCATGGGGCCTCCCTACTGGTGTGGAGCAGTTGGCATTTCCAATGGTATCAGCCCTCAGAGGACAGGAGCTAGGTAACTCTTGGGCCTGTGCTCTTTCATAGGTATCAGTGGGTTAACATGTATGGTACCATGAGATCCTCTGCCTCGTAACAAAAGGACTGTGGGTGAACTAAAGCTATAGTTCAAAGGGCTTTACAAAATTTTAATATATTAAAACAACAGGCATCTGCTAGAAAACATTCTATTGTATAAAACCCGAGCTTTTAAAAACATGTTTTCTTTGGCACTTTTTATCCCTTCCCTCCCCTTTCCCCAGCGTATTGCAAAAAGCTCTCCAGTGCTAAGGCATTGGCAGGGTATGTAAACAGCAGCCAGCATATGTGGAGGAATAATACAAAGCTTTTTTTCCTAATATTGTCTGTGCAGCAAGCATAAATAACAGGATCCATCCCAAGGTGTGTGGGTTTCCTTTCCTCCCCTATGTCTTCTGTCACTGGTGATCAGGCTGGGGTGACGTGGAGACTGGGAGGGGGCCTGGGCCAGGCCTTGTTTTCATGATGCTGTTCACAAGGCCCCAGGTTCCTTCCACTTTCACTGGGTCCTGTAGTGAAAGGCTGGTGGTTGCTTTTTAGGTTGGGGAAAAATAGAAGTGCTGGTGTTTAAAAGTGGAGGTGCAGGCCCTGGGGGAGCTGTAGGGACCCTGCCCACCTCCTGGAAGGATTTGGCCTGGGCTTCTGTACGGCAGGAAGCTAGTTTGATGTTTTGGAGGTTTCTCCCTGATAGGGAGCTAGAGATTAAATGATTGAAAAGGTTCCTCCACGTGGCCTCTTGGAGGCAGGGAAGTACTCCTTAGTCCCTTGGTGTTGGGAGGCTGAGACTGGGGACATGGGTCTTGTAATTGAACAGTAAGTGCTTCTCCAACACCACCTGCAGTCCTGTGGTGGAACCCCTCTTCAGGGCATTGTTTGTAGGACTAGGTTTAAGGCATGACTAACTTCAGCCCCAAATCTAAGCACTAGTCTCTACTTCCCTCAAATTATCCCCAGGCAGAGTCAACTTTGTCTTCAAGTGCCACCCTGGAGCCCTGCTGAATGACGTGGGTAGCACTCATGTGGGAATGGTGTTGCTCCCTAATTATGCACCTGTCCCCCTACTTGATCTCCCATGCTGACTTTCACACTGCCCCACCTTCACCTCATGCATAGTTAATCTGGAAAGCAGCACCTTGTCACCTCCAATTGGTCCTGGTTACCTGGCTCATCTGCTAGTCTGGCTCCCCAATTAGCCAAAAACTGGGTGGGGGAGATGCCCTAGAATCTAGGCACAGATGGCTGACTTCAGAGAAGGGCAGTGAGAGAACATTGTTCTCAAGCTCCCATTTGTGTTTTCCTGATAGGGCTGATGAGCACCAGTGAGGCAGGGTGGCAAGATGCCAGGGGGCACCTTAGGAGGACCCCGCCTGGGCTTGCTGTGCCCTTCCACTATTCATCAATCCACAGACTGACAGGACTTACCCTCTACCCTGAACGGCACTGCAAATTGCCAAAACTAGCTTGGGCTGGGACAGAAAATGTATCCTGCCTGTGGCTCTGGGATTGCCTGACGCTACCCCGGAGGGATGGCCCTCTTAGTGGCAGGCCTCTCTGCCTGTGCTTTTCCCCAGCCTCCAGAACTGAAGCTGGGGAGCCCAGGTGCAGCCCTCAGCAGTCCCACCTCAGACTTGTTGATGTACCGATAGCCATCTTTGAGGGCACCCCCAGAAGCCAGGTGACAAGCCCGTGTGGGCAGCCTGCCTGTCCTAGAGTGTCACCCGCCCCACCCTAGACGGTGGTCTCGCTCTTCCAGAGGCCGGTCTTCATGCAGCCGCCGCCGGGCGCCTCGGCGCCGGCCATGGTGATGTCGTCGTACTTGCCGCCCTTGGGGGCGCCGTTCAGACTGGCCGTGTTGAGCGGGTACGAGCGGCGCTTGCTCTCCTTCTCCAGCGCGCCCCTGAGGTTGTCGCGGCTGGCGCTGCGGCGCTGGCCCGGCCGGCCGGCCTCGGGG